AACTGGCATTGACATGGAGCATTTATTTGGCATACATGTAAATGCCCTCACATATAAGTATAATGAGTTGTGAATATTGATTTGTGTATCAGTGTCAAAAATTATGTGTTATATAAGAGCATTGTAACTAGACAGGGGAGACTCAACTCTAAAGTGATATTTGATGTTATATAGTGAACAGAAAATGCTTACAGATAATGACATAGCCATGGCCAGCTGTAGTTCTTCTTCCTCCTCCAACCAGAAGCATGTTTTCCTCTCTCCTTCAGCCTCCTCCTTCTCAAGGCGGAGCTTTTTCCCATCAAGACCTTCAAGTTCCTCATGGCAGTAAGCTTCCTCCTTCCCCGGACGCCCCTCTGCCTCCTCCTGCCAGCCGCCCTCCGCTCCGGGGACGTCGCCGGCCCCAGCGGGCTCTCGCGCGAGTAAGGCGGCGACCTGACGCCTGTACTCCTTGTTCTCGGCCTCCTGTGCGGACATGTGGAGGGCGAGGGAGAGCAGGTCGTCGTCGTCCATGCGGAGACCCTTCTTGAGGTCGTCTTCGTCGTCTTCGTCGTCCCTGATCTCCTGGGAAGGACCTCTTTCCATTAGCCAAGGTTAATTTCACATGCACTACCAACCACGCACATGAGCACACACACGAACACACATACACACACGCGCACGCACACACACATACATACGCACACACACAAACACACACATACACGCACAAATCATACATTAAAAAAAGAAGAAAATCACGTACCGCTTCGAGCAGGTCGAGCAGCGCGAAGTTAGGCTTCAGCGTCCAGAACTGGTCGCGGTCCTGCCGGCAAGAAGGGCACCGGAACACACTCTTGCGGTTCTCCGTCCCTTGAAGGAAAGATTTTTTATTGACTCCAGCAATTTATCTTTCCTTCATGGGTTCATTTATTCATTGATTAAAAAAATCTATCTATTCATTCTATTTATTCATCTATATCTATTTATTTACTATTTACTATTTCTTAGATATCTTAATTTATTCTATCTACGTATTTATCTATTTATCTATTTACTCATCAATCCATTTAATCATTCATTTAATCATTATTCACACACATACATAATGTATATAGTATACCCTGTTACTTACTCGTATATTTCTCTGAAATTAACATAATTATTGCAAAATAAAGCGGGGAAAAAAACGAGGCACCAAGACATTGAAAACAAAGCCATAACACTCACCCCCCCCAAAAAAAAAAAAAAAGGAACACACCAATACAGAGACCACACTTCAAGACAAACAAATTTCACAGAAAGACAAAAACAGAAACCTTACTAAGGCATTCCTCGCAGAAGGTGTGGCCGCAGCTGGAGAAGATAAGCGGACGACGATCGTGCGCGTTGTAGGTCGACCTGCAGACTGCACAGGTTAGCCCTGAGGGAGCCTGCAAAACACGGTGTCCTGTATATTAGTCCACAGTTTCTGCCTGGCCCCATTTCGCTCTATTGACTTTCTCTTTCTATGCTTCACATACTTCATGTAAATAATATATACATATACATATACATGTAAATATATGTGTATACAGCTGTCTACACACACACACACACACACACACACACACACACATATATATATATATATATATATATATATATATATATATATATATATATATATATATTACTTCACAGAAAGTGTGAACGATGTCATTGTCGGTATCCTTTCGACGACCTGATAACTTGCTGCGCAATAAGTTATGGCCCTGCAATACATCCCCACGAGCGGCTGGACCATCGATTATTATCAAGGGGGGGGGGGGGGGGAGGTGCCCAAGAACGTGGCGTCACCAAGCAAACGTCGCAACTGAACCGGCTGGGATAATGTGTATAATAATCTATAGCGCTGCCAGTCTGGAAACATGACGCGGTTCGCCTATTAACGCGGTAGACTGGCTGGGCGCCACAGGCAGGTCAATCTGCCAGGGGGAACTGCAGCCGAAAGGAGTCTCCGCAAGACGAGGCCTCTGGGGGTGATCTTCGTGCGTTCCCAAAAGGTGGGAAGCTACGGACGTGCCCGACCTCGGCTCATCCTCAATGCGACCGCGCCGTATTAAGGATGAGCCCAAAGGGGCGAGGCCCTTGAGGCGGAGTCGACGATCGTTGATGGCCCTTGCCTCTGTCGGGTGGAGCTCGCATGCAGTTATCAGAGCGCCTTAAGTCGCCTCATATTTCGTCTGATTTTGTGCGTTTCAGGCGAGGGTCTCTTAATACATGCCGTGAACTGGCAGATCTCCATTAATAAAAGGACATTTATGCTGGCTAAAGACGAGAGAGTGGTTGATGGCTTTCAGCCATTACTATACAAAGGAGGGACTCATACTATCGAGACTTTAGATGTCATGAGCTTGTGAAAAGCATTTCCCATATGGCTCGATGCAGGACAAGGTCAAATGTCTTAAAAGTCTCTTTTATAGGATTATTATGCCAATGATGAAGGCGCTTCGGATTGGAGGTGAGGCAGGCAGGCGACAGGCGGTTGGATTAGTAACTAACACTTTTTGCTGTTTCGCGGTAAGAAGTCCGGGACATTATCTTATCTGCGCCATTGAATGAACTGGTCGTGAAGGGTTGTAAAACTGATTGTCATGGCATTACTGAATTCTAAGGATTTCGGTTTTCTACCGCTTTTATTTTAAATATCTGATTTTTTAAAATGAATAGCAATTTGAAGATCACAACTTTTTATTAATACATAAAAGAAAAGAAACACATGCGTATATGCCTTCGATGGCTCAGGACGCAGTTATTGAAGTGGTCTTTGTCTTAATCTATTCAGAAGCACTGAAAAATAATTTTTTGTTTATCCTTCCTATTATGAGAAAATCAAAAGGTGAAACGGTTTGATAAGCGTACTTTTCAAGTAGCTAATGCCGACGAAAAAGATTAAACGAGGTAGTTGCATATATTTCGTGTTTTTTTTCTCATTAGCCATCTACACTGATCTGATTTCCTATTTTCCAGTGAAAAAAAAAAAACATCTACACACAACGATTTGGTCCAATAGCCTAAACTATACGTTTCGTTGATACCTTTTACCTACAAAGATGCAAACCATATAGTATTCCTGTAAATGTTTTTTAAATCAACATTACCTGGTTTTCAGAGCTGTTCTCATAATGCTGATCTGACGAATAAAAATTTTCCTGGAAAAAAGAAAAATGCTATTAACATGCATGTATTGTACATACAGTACCTGCTTGATTCTTTAATTGTTTTTGTTTTCTATATATACCATATACCTATAAACCAGCACAAAGAAAAAGACAAGAGAAAGGAATTAGACGAACAAAACAAACACAAAACGCCGCCTTGCCTCGTGCACACGCGCGCCTGAGTCCTGGCGGAGGCCTCCTTGACCCAAGACGTCGCGAATGCTCTCTCGCAGGTCTCGCGAAGTCCCTGACGGCAGGCTATCTAGCGCTGTCAGCAGTCTTATCAGCAGCTCGAGGGTTTTGTTCAATTTTTCTTGGCTCTGCAAAACAACGAAGGTATATATAGCGACTGAGGATGAATTCGCAGCTATTATTTAAAGAAAAATTGAAAGGAAAATGGTCTGCAGCACAAGGTAGTGAAGGAGGAAGGGGAAGAGGAGTTAGCGGAGGCTGAGGAGGAAGAGGAGGAGGAGGAGGAGGAGAGAAGAAGAAGAAGAAGAAGAAGAAGAAGAAGAAGAAGAAGAAGAAGAAGAAGAAGAAAGAAGAAGAAGAAGAAGAAAGAAGAAGAAGAAGAAGGAGGGAGAAGAGGAGCTGGAAAAGAAGACAACGAAAACGAAGAAAAACAAAAGAAGGAGGAGGAGGCGAGAGAACAAAATACAAATATACGTAAATAGAAAATCGAGAAAAGTATGTTCCTTTTACCGATGTCCCCAAGAACAGATTTACCAAACAACAGCGTAACTCTCTTATTTGACAATCATTAATACAAATTATTATTGACTCACCTCAACTAAGGCGTTGATTTTCTCTGAAGTCCGGTCTTGTTCCTTCCGAAGGGCGCATATGTCCTGTTAAGTGAAGGACACTCTGTTATGTAAATTCACTCACACAATTATTGGCATGTATATTCTATATATATGTGTGTGTTTTATATGTATGTATATATATGTGTGTGTGCGTGTGTGTGAGTGTGTATTCCCCTTTCGCTCTTTCTCTTACCCTCTATTTCTCTTCCCTTCTCTATTCCTACTTCTATCTTTCTCTTCATCTCATCCTCTCTTTTCCCTCTCCATTCTCCCCTCTCTCTTTCATCTCCCTCTCTCTCTCTTTCTCTTTCCCTCATTTTCTCTCTTTCTCCCTCTCCACCCTCCTCTCTCTTTCACTCTCCCTCTTTTTTTTACCTTCCCTCTCTCTTTCTCTTTCCTCATTCTCTCTCTTTCACCCTCTCCATTCTCCTCTCCCAGTCTCTCTCTCTCTCGTTCTCTTTCTCTTTACCTCATTCTCTCTCTTCCCCCCTCTCCATCTCTCTCTCCCTTTCCCTCATTTTTACTCTCTCTTCCTCATTCACTCATTCACTCACTCACATACTCAATTACTCCCTCCTTCCCTCTCTCCTTGCTTCCCAGTTTCTCTCTCTCTCCATCTCCTTCTCACCTCTTCATCCTCCTTTCCTTCATCCTTCTCTTCTCACCCTTGTTTGTTATTCCTTCCCGTCTTCTCTTTATTCATCCACCCTCTTCCGGCTATCTTTCCATTTAACTTCCCTCCTTCGCTCTATCTCTTCTCTCCTTTTCCTCCCTCCCTTCCTTCCGTCTTTCCTTCCTCCGTTCCATCTTTCCTTTCTTCCTAATTTCCTCCCTCCTCCCTCCTACCCTCCTTTACTTCTTCCCTCCCTCTCTCCCTTACTCACTAAACCCCTCCTTTCTTCCTTCCCCCCACACGTCCCTCCCTTCATCTCACCTTCTTTTTCCCTTCCCTTCCTTCTTTCATTTCTCTCCCTCCTTTTCCCCTCCCTGTACTCCCCCTATCTTTCCCTTC